CAAAAACGCAATGATTCGCTACAGGAGGCCTTTGTTCACCCCTCGGAGCCGTGTGAGGCACTTTTTATTATGGATGGATGCGCTTTTTTCACTTCTTTTGGACTGATGAATTGCAACACCCGCTGACTGCCATTAAACAACTTGGAAGATCAAAGACAATTTTTAATATAACTCTGACTGAATTCGTCTGAAAGAAGAAAGTCATATACACCTAGGATGCCTTGAGGGTGAGTAAATAATGGGCTAAATTTCATTTTTGAGTGAACTATCCCTTTAAATGAGTGATGCTTGTATATATGTGTAGGTTGAAGGTGCAGCATATGTCGGCTCCTTCATGTGGAAGTCCCGTAGCCTTGGCCTGTGGAATCGTCCACGTGGGGAAAACTTGCTGGATAGTGGCGCTCCATTCTACGATACCTACCGTACGTCTGATGGAAAGTACATGGCAGTGGGGGCGATTGAGCCTCAGTTCTATCAACAGCTTATTCAAGGTCAGTGTATTATATTTCTTCTTAATATGGTCCTGTAGTGTCATCTTCTGAATATAATGGATGTTCTCATGGTGTGAATTGCTATGAATGCTTGCTGTCTCATTCAGAATTGTTGTATTTTGTTAATGGAAAAATCTGAAGTATTTACAGGCAGCTACACAAACACCTGAAATTCCACTCTTTTTTTTCATCTGTAAAGAAATTATCAGTCACCATAGATGTTTTTAAAAATCCCTTATCTTAATCTTTGATAATCTTAATTTAAGACAATATGGTTACTCTTTATTTGAAATATGGTTACTAAAGTTGATCTTGATGTGGAAAATACATCTTAAAAAACATGCAGTTTTTTGATAGGAAAAATTATGTGCAAATATTAAAATTAAATCTAAAAATTATATTTCTTCTTAGTTTAGCATTTTGTTTTTTTTTAACATATTCATTTTATTTCTCATTCTTTTTTAATTATATTCTCTATATGAACAAATATTTTTGTTCATTTCATTTTCTTATTGTTTCTTATATATAATAAGTGTGTGTGTGTGTGTGTGTATTCTCATTTTTGCATTTTAAGATCTTATTTAAATTTTTTTCTATTCACGTCTTTTCTTTTTATTTTCTTGTTCTTTTTAATTATATTTATTCTCCTATTTTTGCACTTTATGGTGTTAATACTTATATTGCTATTCTCATATTTTTGCATTGTTTGCATATGTTCTTATTATTTTTATCTCTCTTCTCTTTTTTGCATTTTTTGTTTTCTTTATCTATTAAATATTTATTCTTTTATTTGTGTGTTTTATTTTCTTAGTTTATATATTTATATAATTATACAATGTTATTTTCTTATTCCTTTATTTCTCTGAACACAGTACACAATGCACATCTATACATCTAGCTGCTTTTAATTCACCTGAAATAAACCTGAATGACATTTGAGTACAATTAACCACAAGATTCTCAGGGTCACATTGTTCTGTCTACATGGTTGTCAATTTTGCGCAGGCATGCAAAGATTAGGGAGAAGCCACAGGATGCTTTATTAGTATGTGCATAGGGATTCATCCTACGTCCTGATGACCCAAGTGCTTAATCTAGCTTTGAAACCATAATAACTCTATTGCTATTCAAGTTTGACCCTCAATAGAAGAATGTCTCCTTATAAGTCACCTGCTGTGGCCAGTGTAATGCACTAATGGCTTCTGGATTCATAGTCCTTCATGATCTCTTTGATCTTTGTCCTCTAAACTCCTTAATTTATTTTTTTCCTCTTTTTTTTTATCTCCCTCATCTAATTCTCTCTCACCACAGGTTTGGGCTTATACGATGCTGACCTGCCCGCACAAATGAGTGAATCGGATTGGCCGCAGCTCAGGCAAACATTCACCCGGGTGTTTGCCAGCAAGACGCAGGAGGAGTGGAGTCAAGTCTTTGATGGGACAGATGCCTGTGTCACCCCTGTGCTGTCTTTGGATGAGGTACTCTCTCACCCCCACAACCAGGCACGGGGGTCATTCTTCAAGGACTCTCAGGGGGAAATTAGCCCTCGACCTGCACCCATTCTGTCCCACTCCCCTGCGGAGCCCTGTCACTCCCGGGACCCCTTCATCGGAGAGCACACTCGCTCTGTGCTGAAGGAGTACGGGTTTGAGCAAGCGCAAATAGAACAGCTCTTATCTGCCGGTATTGTAGAGTGTAACGAAGCTAAAGCGCGTCTGTAAATCAGAGACTCTGACTGGAGAATCATTAAACTTTGTGGCCAATGATGCAGCGCGGGAATCTGAGCACTTGAACTCCTCTGTCTTGTTAAGTGAGTGTGAGGGGGCATTTCAGAACAAAATGACTCTCCCTTGTGAATCACTGGGTGCTGCAGTGGAAGTGGACTAAATGATCCTATGCTTTTATGTTAAGATGTCCAAAAAATTCAACTCTCATTTGTAATTTCTGTAGGGAAAGTCAAGTGGGATTTAATTAAAGCCTATTGCAAATATTCTGTATTAATCTTAACATCCTTATTTTTGTCAGCAACATCATCAGTCTTTCAAAAAAGATATTCAACATTTGCTTATTTTTTAAGACCGTTTTGAATTAATAATAGTATCGTTGAGGGCATTTTATTTGTAGTTGATTAAAGTGTACCACTTCTGGTTGTGAATTGAAATACTTGACTAATAAGCGCCTTCAGCAAGAATAGCTGAGTGTGAGTCATAGACTAATTAACTGAGTGAAATATTTGCCTTTGCCTAGTTATTAGGGAGCGCTGATGACCCAAGATAATGGTATTAGGATAAAACCAATTAATGATTCAGCTTAAGATGAAGTTTTCTGTCATAATATCACTAGTTGTATAAAAGTGTAACACTTGGTGAACACCGTAGTGGTCTTTATTATGATACAGGTGGTCGTTTTTGTGTGGCCTGTATTTATTATAAGTAATGGGGACAGTAAGGTTGTCGCTTAAAGCCAATTCACACTATACCAACAGACGCAGACAAACGGCAACAGACACATTTGTCGGGATTTGTTGGATCAGTGTTTTACCCCATCTGCATCACTTGGCATTGGCCGGCACTTATTTTTGCTGACTGAACATAATGAACTGCAATTTTTCGGTCTTGGAATGTCTGAGAAGTGTTGTAATGTAATCTGGTGACCATCAGCATTGGCCCTGCGTCTGTTAGTGCGGTGTAAATTGGCCTTTATGCTCATCAGAGATGTAATAAAAACTGTAATATTGTGAAATATCAGTGTAATTTAAATGAACTGTAATCTGTTTTAAAGGGGTCATGAACTGAGAAACCAAAATTCCCTTGATCTCTTGACATATAAGAGGTCATTGTACTATAAAAACATCCTGTAAGTGTCAGAACTCAAAACTTTCTTGTTAGTCTAAAAACAGCTTATATTGAAGCCAGTCTGCCAAAACGACAGCTTGTGGAATGTACCACTCTATGATGTAATAGTGTGGATAAGCACCACCTCCGCAGAAGAAGATAGACATTGCCGCCTGTTTAGCCCCGCCCACTGATTCACGCATGTAGTGTTTACGAGAGAGGCGAACGCAGGTCTACACAGAAACCAAACGACAAGGATGCTCTGAAGACAACAAGACGCTGTGAAGTGCCAAGTTTGCTTCGTCTTCCTTCTGATCCCAACGTTAAGAAAGAATGAATAAATGTTATTTTTAATGAAGTGCTAGACCGTGACAGTAAGAATTCGGTCCTTTGTTCACTTCATTTTACCACGGATTCATTTACAAACAAGGCACAATTCGATGCGGGTTTTTTCAGAAAGATTGAAACTAAAAGACGATGCTGTGCTGACTATATTGGATCGGACAGTAATGTCGTGTGTGAGTAACTGTTTTTATTACGTGGCCACTATTGCTTTGTTTGTAGAAAAAAAAAGAACATTTGATATGTTCTGAATATTTAAGCATTTTCAACCTAAATCACAGCAGTGTCCATCTGTGAAGGATGTAGGCTGTCAAACATACACAACTATTTGCCAGTCATAGCAGTGGGCATTTAATTCAGAGTCTACAATCTGCCAAGCCTATTCAAACAGAGCGTTCTGATGAGGGGGGTCAAAACAGGACAGAAAATAGCCTATTCTAAATTGTTTTTTAATGTAAAAATCTTGATAACATTATAAGTGGACCTCAGAGAACAATACAAAATAAATAAACAGTTCATGACCCCTTTAACATGTTATGAAGTGCAATTTATTTCTGTGATGGCAAAGATGAATTTTCAGCAGCCATTACTCCAGTTTTAAGTGTCACATGATCCCTCAGAAATCATTTTAATATACTGATATGCAGCTCAATAAACATTTGTTATTATAATTAATGTTGCAGACAGTTGTGCTGCTTAATATTTTTTGTTGAAACCGTGTGAAAAAGAATGGAATAATGTTCAAAAGAACAGAATTTATTTGACAGAAATGTTTTGTAACAATATAAATGTCTCTACTGTCACTTTTGATCAATTTAATGCATCTTTTCTCAATAAAAGCATTAATTTCTTAATAAAAGAATTACCAACCCCAAACTTTTAAACAGTAGTGTATTTTCAAATTAAGAAAAGAGACTGTACAGATCAAGACACATTTTCTGATCCTTGAAGATTGAGATAAAAATAATGAAATTGTAAAGCAGTTTTTAAAACTTCAGAGTTTAAAAAATGTTAGACTTTAAAGACTGTATCTGGCTTCAAACAATACTTCTTTTGATAACATTCTGAATCATCTTTTCTCAATTCAAATACTACTAGTAAACCCAAAGAATGAGTTGCATAAAAATATTTCATAACTACTCTAGCCTGAAATCGATTCTCATTCACGTAGAAGATATGTGTGGAATGTGGCATTTTAATCTATGTGGCAACATCTGACCAGTTCCCTGTGATCCACAGCTCAACCTCTATAGATTAAGTCTGAGGGAGAGAGTGGATGATGATCTGTGAGAAGCTCACATGATTTTTGAAGAGACTCTGTGAAAGTCTCATGACAGATTTGAGTAAACCAAAGCAGCAGGAGATAGCCGTGTGAATGGAGAGGCAGTATTGCGTGGGGTTGTGTGCTTTAACTCTGCTATAAATGCATTTCCTTCTTTTTTTTTTCCAACCCCCTTGAAGCCGTCTGCCGAGGAGTCACATGGTATACGTCACTTGTTTTACCCTAATGGGCCATCCTGCCATGCAAGACCACAAAAGGATACTTGTTAGGTCTACATTAACATTTTTCTAACATTTCCATTTCCACAAACACTCTACTGTTCTCTTTATCTGATAGATATTTGCTATTACGTTAACTACGAATTGTTAGTTCTGAACTTCTAACCTGTTGTAACCCAGCAGGAGCAAGAGAAGAACATCCACAGCTCATAATCTTCGTCACGTGCTTACAACTGACTCCACCAGCGGCCTTTGGCAACAAAAGCAAGAAAAAAAGTGAGGCTTACTTCCTTGATCTCAACCAGACGACCACCTCCTTTTCGTCTCAGCTCAGCTGACATTGTAAATACTAGTTTGGAGCTTTATCGCTCAACTATGCAGTAGGAATTAAGAGTTTCAAGACCGACAACTATGACTCTTCTAACCGAGGACCAGCCTTGCAGGTTCTCTGCACCGGACAGCCCACTCGCATCCATGGAGCACTACCCGGTGGACTCGGGGCCGAAAGAGGACTATTTGGACTGCATGGAACCAGCTGTGTTTGGAGCGGTGGAGCCTCCGAAGCACTCCAGAGGAAGGCTTATCATGCACGGCATGGTCATGTTTGGAAGGGAATTCTGCTATGCTGTTGAGGCAGCGTTTGTCACACCGGTGTTGCTGAGCGTTGGACTCCCCAAACACCTGTACAGCCTGGTGTGGCTCATCAGCCCTGTTTTGGGTTTTGTCCTACAGCCTGTCATCGGCTCGGCAAGCGACTACTGTAGGTCCCCATGGGGCCGAAGGCGACCGTACATACTCTTGCTCGGGATTATGATGTTAGTTGGCCTGACTTTATTTTTAAATGGAGATGCGGTCACATCAGGTAGGTGCAGCCTAAGTAAATGATGGATCTGTCAAGATTATGAAACCAGGAGCTACTTGTGCCTAGGCTGGTAGTTAAAGAATCTACCGTTGGCAATGCAATTTTTAAAACAGTTAGCAAATTTTATTTGCTCTCGCTTGACCATTAAAAATATTGTTAGGATGAAGAAAATAATGACCCAGGAAGGAATGCTAAGCAGATATAGGAACTTCAAATAACCACAAAAGTACTGCATTTTTCACATTGTATCAAATAGCTTTTTTTAATGACCAAAGGAGATGTGAGTCAAAAATAGTTGTGTGGAATATAACACAGCTGGACATTGCATGTTTTTTTTTTCTCACAGCATTATGGGAATCTTTACCTATTCCTACCATATTTCCTATTAAATACTACAAATCTAGAATTGTAATCATTTGCAATAAAGAGTACTTGTTAATTTACCAAGCACACACATTTAAAATACTGAAGAAAACTCCTGTTTTCATTACTACAATTAGGTGTTCTTTGGCAAAAATGTAAACATTCACACTTTTATTTATTTAGTTAGTTATTAGTTTATGCATTTATTTATTTATTTATTTATTTATGTATGTATTTCTATATGCATTACAAAAGACTACAAAAGAATGTATACATAACTGGAAGAAAAACCTAATCTTCATGTTTTATGCGTTTTTGCACTTTTTTTGTCTTCTGAGCAATGGACCTTAAGTTTTGACATTTCTAAAAAGTTATATTCAATAGTATTTATTAGCATTTAATACATAATGTGCTTTTGATTAAACAAAGCATGATGTTGTTTCTCTCCTCCAGCTATACTACAGGACAGAAATGTTAAAAGGACATGGGCGATCGTAGTGGTCATGTTTGGAGTGGTGTTGTTTGACTTTGCGGCGGACTTCATTGACGGACCCATTAAAGCCTATTTGTTTGACGTGTGTTCTCATCGGGATAAGGAGAGAGGGCTTCATTATCATGCCTTACTCACAGGTAAGAAGCAACAGTGAGTGATGTTGCTTGGCTTTGCTTCATATGATGGAAATATGCCTTTATTAATGTTTCTAAGTGCACTGAATTAATGTGCAATTTCTTTGCAAAACAAGCTGAATGTAGCAAAGAAATAATAGCTTTTAAAACATGAGAAATTCCTTCAAAGCTATATAGTTACCTTGGCAATGCCATAATTGACACCGCTCTGTACCTTACCCTTCTGTTGCTGTGGAGATGTTGTGCATTATGACATAAAGCCAGATTGATGTGCCTATAGCACTATTAACCATTTTTGTGCTGGTACTGTGAAGGACTTCAGCGATTATTTCATTTATGTCTTTCCTTGGTGTCATGAGTCCGTTCGCAGTAGATTGTTGCAATATAATTCACAAAATGGATTGCTTTTTGCACTCTTTAAATCTAAGCGTCATCGAAAACTATACATTTTCAAGTGTGTGGATACATTTCTGGGTACTTTTATGGCCGCTGCGTTTCTCATGCATATTTTTGCTTTTTGTGCATTATGACATAAAGCCAGATTGATGTGCCTATAGCACTATTAACCATTTTTGTGCTGGTACTGTGAAGGACTTCAGCGATTATTTCATTTATGTCTTTCCTTGGTGTCATGAGTCCGTTCGCAGTAGATTGTTGCAATATAATTCACAAAATGGATTGCTTTTTGCACTCTTTAAATCTAAGCGTCATCGAAAACTATACATTTTCAAGTGTGTGGATACATTTCTGGGTACTTTTATGGCCGCTGCGTTTCTCATGCATATTTTTGCTTTTGCCATTTTGATCCTGTCAGTTCTTTAGGAAACCCCATTATTTTCTTGATGTGCCGTTTTTAAGATGCACATGCTTCTCTGCAATTGCCGCTACAGGAACTGGTACATTACAGATCGCTCTGCAATGTGAAGCTGACTGACAGCATTTGTTTTAAACTGTTTTTTGTAGAAGCATTTTTGAAAGCTTCCAAGTGTATTATTTCGACTGAATTCCAAGTACTTTTGTGAAATTGGTTGGCACTATGGCAATGGCCTGTGTCCTCACCCATTTATAGTAAAACGTGGTGATTTTGTGTCGGTCTGCTCATGGTGCTCAGGCACGGAAGGGGTCTGTGTGCACTCAAGGTATCCTAATCCAAACAGGCTCAGTCATGTGCTGAGATCATGGGTTGGAGCTGAGAGTTTCAGAGCCACATGACTGGATCACTACTGTGGCTCAGGGGTGGGTGGGTGTTTGTGTGTAATTGTGCGTAACCTTCCATACAGAGTTTTTTGTTGTTGTTGTTTTTGGTCTACTTTTACTGACAAAATATGCCCTGCAATGTAACATATTAACAATAGCAAATGTCCACCATATTATTAATCTCTTGAATGTTCTTTAACTGAAGCATTTAATTTGTTTTTCTCTGTATTTTGTCAAAACTGTATTATTACCACACATTATATCACTCACTTGCTCACCCCTAAAACCACCTGCCCTCAGACTACAACTCGATACTTCTTAAGTCCAAAGTATATATTATAATGTCTATTTAGATTTTTATTGTATAGTAGTGTATATATCGATTATACTGTTATATAAAAACAAATATTTTAATTACTCTAAATGCTTTTGGAGGTTTTATTCATCAAAGAATCAAACATATTAAACAATGCAATAATTTTTAGCATTGATAATAATATATGAAATGTTTCTTGAGCAGCAAATCAGCATATTAGAATGATTTCTGAAGGATCATGTGACACTGAAGACCAGAGTAATGATGTTGAAAATGCAACTTTGCCATCACAGGAATAAATGCCATTTTAAAATATATTAAAATTGAACTTTAAATTGTAATAATATTTCACATTATGTTACTGTTTTTACTTTACACTTATTTATATAAATGCAGCATTTGTCAGCATAACAGACCCCATGCAAACTTCTGAACGGTATTGTATCTTTTAAAAAGAAAATTACTGCTATGACCTTACAATTAGAAGAGGTAAATGTTAAAAATATATCTCTTTTAAATGGTTCACAGTTGTGTAATATCTCACGATGCTTTTTGCCAGCATTGCCATATATGATAACATTACTTAAATAAGGTAATTACAATGTCTTTATTGTGAGGGTTTTCCTTTTATGTTTCACATGCTAAGACCTAAACAACATCTTGTAGGCTGAAGTGAAGTTTAAGTAAAAAAACTAAAAAAAAACTAAAAAATGGCACAGCCATGTTATGACAAACCCTGTCACACCATACTGTAAGTGCTGTTAGCAGTTCCACCAGAAAAACACAATGGCTCCTGTATTTAACACGTGTGATGTCTGAAAGATTTCCTGCTGATTCAATAGATGAAGAATGAATATCAGTGCTGAAAATCATTCTGTGGTCTCAAGTCAGTTGCTGAAGTGACATATTTAATCTAACATATTTAATGTGACAGAACACATTGTTTTTATATATAATGGCAGGAAAGATTTTTCAACAATTTGTAAAATTACTACAGAAACCTTTAACTTCATTCAAAATAATTTTTTGGTAAATAAACTTCCATAGCTTGTTTTGCCTCATGCACATTATTATATTATAAAGGTCACTGTTGTAATTGGTGTAGCAAGAGCTAATACATTTGAATTCCTTCCTAAAACAAGAACAACTCTTATTAAAGGTGACATATCATGAAAATCTGACTTTTCCAGGTTTTAAGCGCTATAATCAAAACATGATAATCAGAACCAAAACAGTTTTTTTTAGCAGATAACAGCTGTAATGGTGCAGCTCTATTCTGGAAAAGAGGCGGGGAGCAGCAGCTCATTTGCATTTAAAGACACAGGCCCGAAAAACAGCTTGTTTCTGCTTCCACTCAAAATAGGCATTTTCAAAATTATATAATAAATGAGTATTTTGAGCTGAAACTTCACAGACACATTCTGGGGACACCAGAGACTTATATTACATATTGTAAAAAGGGGCATAATATGTCACCTTTAAAGTACTTTTAGTGCTTCGTCTTACATTCGGAGAAGCATTTTGGTTTTTACAAACAGAGCACATCCCACCGAAACATTCAATTGCGTTTGATTTTCCGAGTGTGATTTTTCAAAGCAATCTGCTGTGCTTCCTTGCAGGTCTAGGTGGAGCCTGTGGATACCTGATTGGAGCCATGGACTGGGGTCACTCTGCACTTGGTGTCGTACTGGGTTCAGAATACCAAGTTATCTATTTTTTCTCGTCATTGACCTGGGGCATTTTTCTTACCATGCACCTTTTCAGCATCCCAGAGAAACCACTGATGAAAGATCACAGTTCAGACTCTTGTACAGCCGCCTCGCTGCTCCTGGAAGACCCACATCATAACGGCTACGGCGCGGTACACAAAGAATCACCACCTCTGCCTGAAATGAGGCAGCGCTCGTTTTCTGCCCTGAGTGAAGCCAATACAGTCACGCCCAGTGCCAAGCAGCCTAACAGCGAGGTTGGTCATTTGTGTTACTTTGAATCCCTTTCATGTGGCTTTTATTCTTGGCTTAAGTCTACATCCAATTTCCCCTCACATTTTAATGACCTGTTTCAGACCTTGGAGCATCAGCCTTTGTGAGCTGTAATTAGGCTGCCACTGGATACTCATGCCTTTCACAGAAACAATTCCTCGTTTGGTCGATAATGAAAATCAGCACATGCTTTTTTCGGTTGTTAGAAATGCAACAAATGATGGCATATTAACAGGTCTTTGTGGTGAAGTGGTGACGTTATAATTACTTATTATGGCTATTGTGTGTAACTTAATTAAGTGTGAAAAATGTACACGGCTCTCAAAGTTCACACTATATTTTATTAGGGCATTAAGTAATAAATCAGGCCCAGGTTTACCATTAAAAATAGTAACATAATATAGCAGCATATAATGAGACAATATACAGTATGTGTCTCATTATATGGTAGAGTCTAAAATTCTGAGACCACTATAAAAATGCTGCTGTTTTGTATTTGTATTAGTAAAAAATATACTAATAAATATATATACTTTTTTAGCAGAATAACTTAAACAAAAATTTGAATAATAGTAATAGTCATTTGAACATTTATTATTTATCATCAATTGATAAAATGAATAAATATTATAAATGTATTATTAATAAACTGAATTGGGTAATGACCTAAAATAGTACAGAATTTTGAATATTTTTTGTTTATATTGTCTTTTTTCAACTTTATTTACAAATATATTGTAAACCACATATTTTAGAGTAGCGATATACCCCAGAGTATATCTTGGATCACCATTTTTCACTTTTTCAGATAATCTTTTAAATGCTTCTTTTGAATCATAAAAATGAGGCATGCTCTTTGTGAAACCTCCGCTGTGGTCCTTAACCCAGACTGCAGTTTTTCATGCCAGTGTAATGCTAAAGTCACACCAAGTAATGCTTTAATGCAGCTCATTTTTAATAAGCCTTAATAAGAATATTTCAGTATTAATTGGAATTACACAGTCACACAAAAATGAATTAACCCAGGTGAGCTGATATTATGGTTACTAATACTGTATATCTGTATATAATCAGAATATAGGTTCAAAAAATAGTAGTTTTATATGCATAACAGCAAAGTAACTTTGAACAAACTTTGATCAAACTTTACTTTTTATTTAATGTTCAAATTGAATTGTTAATGCCACTGAGGTAAAAGGAACTGGAAATCTCACTAATCCTGTCAGTCTAAACCCCAACGGAGTCTCGCAATCATTAACCTGCGACAAACCTCACATAATCTGCCATCTGTCCCTGAGAAAGAGTTCTATTCCACCAAACTCTGCTTTTGGACAAAATGTTCAGAACATTTAGTTCTTGTTAATACAGTGATGGGAGGCTTGTTTCACAGGCTGACGGATAGAACACTGGCTTAAAGGGTTAGTTCACCCAAAAATGAAAATTAGCCTGTGTTTTACTCACCCTCAAAGCATTCTAGGTGTATGTGACTTTCTTCTTTCAGACGAATCCAATCGGAGTTATAATAAAAATGGTCCTGGCCACTCCAAGCCTTACAATGGGGGTTAGCGGGTGTTGGTTGTCAACAGTTCAGAAGACGTGAAATAAAATGCGTGTATCCGTAATAAAACGTCCCTCACACGGCTCCGGGGGGTGAATAAAGGCCTCCTGTAGCGAATCCATGCATTTTTGTAAGATAAATATCCATATTTCAAACGTAATAAACACTTTTTTTTCTCACTTCCGCTGACTGTCATACGCGGAAGCCGTTCCGGCGGATGACGAAGGACGTCGATGTTGCGTGATAAGTGACGAACGCGGAGACAAAACAAAACAAAACGCCGTTCACGAATTAGAAGTACAAAACGAGGATTTGTAAATAAAAATGTCGGAGGATTTCGATATAAGCCAAGAGGAGACTGGTTTTCCTTTGCTAAAATAAGGAAACTTTGCTTCTTTTGCTCCTGCATTTCTCAGAGGCGCGCGCACCACGCCTACGTCTTACGTCATCCGCCTGAACATCTTCCGCGTACCACAGTCAGCAGAAGTGAGAAAAAAGTGTTTATTACGTTTGAAATGTTTGTTGACAACCAACACCCGCTTACCCCCATTGTAAGGCTTGGAGTGGCCAGGACAATTTTTAATACAACTCCGATTGGATTCGTCTGAAAGAAGAAAGTCACATACACCTAGGAAGCTTTGAGGGTGAGTAAAACACAGGCTAATTTTCATTTTTGGGTGAACTAACCCTTTAAGCCCCGTTCAGACTACAAGATTTTAGCCCGATTTTGCTACGATCTCCTTGACGTAGGGTGTCGTGGGGATTCGTAAATGACAATGGGCGTCGGGACGCACGATTCAATAGTTTTATCTCGTGTAGTGTGTCATAGTGCACGACACCTCTGCGATGCTTCACGACGTCAACACAGAAAGACTAGCATGTTTAATTTTTTTTCCCATCGTACACGACAAGTTCCATCACATCTATGACACTGGCCAATAGGAGCACAGAAGCGCCTCTGTACAACCTTTCAAACAAGCCGAAACGAAAGAGAGACAATGGTAACGTATCGGTCTTGCTAGGTGTAATTTTACAATGGAGGAAATGTTCATGGAGCTACGGCAACAATACTCCTGCATTTATGATGAGGGACTGCCACGACGCAGTGAAATAAGTTAAAATAAAAACTATTTGACCTCAGTTCTCTTTGACAGTCCATACCATCCTCTTCATGCCATCCAGATTTGTGTACATGTTTTCTTTCTTTTTTGGGCTTTTCTAAAGACAAGACAGGGCAAAACACGCTGTTTGCTAGCCATTGTTTGTTTACGCTCATAGCACCTTCTGTCTTGTCTCTGGCCAATAGGAGCACAGAAGCGCCTCTGTACAACCTTTCAAACAAGCCGAAACGAAAGAGAGACAATGGTAACGTATCGGTCTTGCTAGGTGTAATTTTACAATGGAGGAAATGTTCATGGAGCTACGGCAACAATACTCCTGCATTTATGATGAGGGACTGCCACGACGCAGTGAAATAAGTTAAAATAAAAACTATTTGACCTCAGTTCTCTTTGACAGTCCATACCATCCTCTTCATGCCATCCAGATTTGTGTACATGTTTTCTTTCTTTTTTGGGCTTTTCTAAAGACAAGACAGGGCAAAACATGCTGTTTGCTAGCCATTGTTTGTTTATGCTCATAGCACCTTCTGTCTTGTCTCGCGCTATCGATGACAGAATGCACGTCGTTAATGACGGCATGGGATGAATGCTCAGGTAGCATGTTTTTTGTTCACGACACGACAAGATTTTATGAGTCAAAATCGCATAATCTGACACAGTGACCGTCGTAATCGACAAAAAAATTGTGTAGTCTGAACGGGGCTTTAATTAGACTGATAAAGGTCTCAAATGAAACAGAGAGTAGTGTAAATACCTGAGGGTTCCATCAGTGATTCAGTTTTAGCAACAGAAGAAAGTAGATTTATCTACAGAGAGATCCTCATCATAGAAATATTGCAGTAATGATAACAACCCTTTTTGGTTGTAGAAACATTTATTATGTTCTTAATGATTTACATCAATAACTTTGCCTTAAACAACATCCATATTAAGGTTTCCTCAGCACATATTGTCAAATAGTTAGACTAACCTTCAAAGTGCATCAGTTTATTTCTGTTTTAAAGTGCGTTCTCTTATCCCAGTATAATGTGCAGAGACAACTATAAGATCTTCATACTGCATGAAGTTGACAGGTTTGTGAAAACCTGATGATTCATCTCATCTGATCTCTATGTTTTATATATATCATAGCTCACTGAATAAAGCTTGGTTTGTTAAATGCACCATCTACTTTTACTGTATTCTTAAATATTCTTTGGTAATGGCTTTAAGGTTTTGAACCTTTCAGTAGATATTATTAGCCTGTGTGCATAACTGTGTTTCAGGTACAGAAGAGAATGACCCTGAAATCTCTACTGTCAGCTATGATTAGCATGCCCAGCCATTACCGCTGTCTGTGTGTGAGTCATCTGTTAGGCTGGACGGCCTTCCTGTGCAACATGCTCTTCTTCACTGACTTCATGGGGCAGGTGGGTGAAGGAGGAAGTTGAAGGAATTAGATTTTTCCAGTTGTGCTGCGTTTGCACATCCCTATCTTTAAAGAGAGGGCTCAAAACAGCCATTAAATACACATGCTGACACTTCTAATGTTAGCGCACCACACTCTAGTCCCTTCAATTGAAATCCCTGACCTACCGACTGACTGTAAAACTGCTAGGCAACCATTTGATATATTCTTGGATGTAAAATCATGTTGGTTTAGTAATCGCTGATAATCTTAGAGTCTTTGTTTTCAAATATTTTAAAGAGTACTGTTCAAAAGTTTGGGGCCGGTAAGATTTTGTAATGTTTTTTTTAAAAAAGCAGTCTCTTATGCTCACCAATGATGCATATGTGATCAAAAACACAGTAATATTGTGAAATATCATTTCAATTTAAAAGAACTGTTTTCTATTGGGATATATTTCAAAATGTAATTTGCAAAACTGAATTTTCAGCAGGCACAATTCCAGTCTTCTGTGTCACATAATTGACCTTCAGATCACTTTCAGAAATCATTCTAATATGCTGATTTGGTGCATAAGAACCATTTCTTATCGTTATCAATGTTCTGATAAATAATTATCATTTGTGATGCTTAATATTTTTGTGAAAACCGTGGTAATTCAGGTTTTTGATGTATTGACTGTCACTTTTTTTCAATTTACTGTCCTTGTGAAATAAATCTATAAAAAACAAAAAGGTTATGTAGCCAAACTTTTGAACAGTAGTGTAACAAAAACTATTGATGCTGCTAACTTAATCACATTTTTGTAACCATTCAGATTGTGAAAGATCCAGACTGCCAAAAGTATAGCTTAACAAAAGAAAGAAAGAAAAAACCAACACATTTTCTTGTTGTCATATCTCTAATAACTCATTCATCTTTATTCATTTACCAAGCCATTAGATTTCAATTTAGTACTCCTGAAAGAGTAGCATTATGAACCTGAAGAAAAGATCAATAGATTCTTTGAGTTGTGGTTAAAAGATTCTTTATCAGTTTCTTTATCTTATTTTCCCTCACACAGCTAGTTTGGTCAGTGCTGAATTGAGATAAAGTCTCCATCTTTGAAAGCTGAGGGTCATTAAAGGAACTGTATAAACCTTATGACCTGAGGTTTTGAATGAAAAGTACTACTTGAGCATGCATGTTAACCTTATCGAAGGCTAATTTGAGGTAAGACTTATAAAACTCTCAGTAGCCTTAAAACCAACCCACAAGATCACAGCAGAGCAGAAGATGATGTCCCTTTGAATTTCCACGTGGTGTCTGAATGGAGAAAGCCTTGTGATGTTCTTGTACTTCACTTGAGTAGCATAATGGAAGCAGAGACACGTGTGGAGAGGATCTCTGGCTCTGTACTTATAGTGTTTTTACCCCATTTGACCAATGGATCACCTTGTCACATGCTTTATCTTACAGTATGTAACATCCCTGGGATGTGTGTATTCATCTCTAGATTGTATATAAGGGGAACCCCTATGCTGAACACAATTCCACCTCATATGCGACATATGAGAGAGGGGTTGAAGTGGGCTGCTGGGGCCTGTGCATCAACGCCGTCTCCTCTGCGCTCTATTCATGTGAGTAATATTGAACCATGACTCAACTGTTCATTCGTCCTGACTTTATTAAACCTGTACTTTCTTAATGCATCCAGACAAAAGAAAACTGTTCAATTATAGTTTGATAATACATGGCCCTACCAATTCAGTTCGGGTTTGAAATTGGATAATACACTTTTTCAGAGTTATTAGTCTGTTTTGATGAGAGAATCACAGTCCTATTCAACATCCTGTCATTCTAATTCGGGCCTCAAGTCATGTGTCACTGAAAAGGCCATTTCAGAGGGTTTTATCAGGGAAGACGTTTTATCACTGATATGAATACTTCTGATCTGTTAATCTGTTTGCTATTCATCCGATTCACCATTTGTTCTGTATTGAAGGCTATTGTTGCAATCTGCTTTAATGATTTCCATGTGTGTCCATCCAGATGTGCAGAGGCTTCTCCTGCCATATATTGGCCTGAAGGGACTGTACTTCCTAGGCTACTTTATGTTTGGTTTGGGAACCGGTCTGATCAGCCTGTTTCCAAACATCGTGGCCACGCTGACGTTGTGCAGTGTGTTTGGAGTCATGTCCAGCACTCTCTACACCATCCCATTCAACCTCATCTCGGAGTACCACAAGGCTGAAGAGGTCAGTGATACAAGAGGACAAAAGTCATTTTAAAGGAGTCATGAACTGCCTGTTTTTTTTAATCTTGTACTGTTCTCTGAGGTCCACTTATAATGTTATCAAGATTTATACATCGAAAAACATAATTTAGAAATAATAGGCTATTTCTGTCCTGTTTTTGACCCCCCTCATCAGAACGCTCTGTTTGAATAGGCCTGACGGGTTGTAGACTCGAAAGTAAACGCCCACTGCTATGTTGTGTGTTTTAGGTTAAAAATGCATAAATACTCAGTACATATCAAATGATCTGTAACAACAGACAAAGCAATAGTGATCACGTAATGAAAACAGCTACTCAAACTTGTGTGGTGCAACATCAGATCCAATATAGTCGGCACAACATAGTCTTTTCGTTTCAATCTTTCTGAAGGTCCTGCGTCGAATTGTGCCTTTTTTGTAAACAAATGTGTGGTAAAATGAAGTGAACAAAGGACCGAGTTCTGGCACTTCATTAAAAATAAAGTTAATCAAATACAGTTTATCGTTTGGTTTCAGCGTAGAACTGCGTTTGCCGCTCTCGTCATTTAAGTGCGAATCGGTGGGCGGGGCTAAACAGGCAGTGATGTAGATGCAGGCATTGATCTTCTGCGGAGGTGGTGTTTACTGACACTATTATGTCATAAAGTGGTACATTCCACAAGCTGTCGTTTTGGCAGATTGGCTTCAATATAAGCTGTTTTTAGACTAACAAGAAAGTTTTGAGTTCTTAAACTTACAGAATGCTTTACAGAATGCACAATGACCTCTTATATATCAAAAGATCAAGGGAATTTTTATTTCTTACTTCATGACCCCTTTAAACAGTATATTGAAAGTTTTATACATTTTTAATCAAGAAAATATACTTTTTTTTGAAAGAAATTTATACTTTTATTCAGCAAAGATTTTGTGAAATTGAGTGTTTAAACCAAGCTTGCTTGCAGCTGTGTCTTTGAAAAAGTAAATTAGTTTTTTATCATTTAATCTAATGCAAAGAGGTATAAAAGCCTGTCAGTAAGGGCTAGTGTACATTCAGCAGGTCATTATCACAAAATAAACCCTTGCAGGATAATTAGGGCCCTTATGTGAAGATGGTGGGTCTTTCATCATCCTGAAGGTGTTTATTTTGTGATTTAAAAACCATCTTACTGAACATTATTCCACTTATTACAATGATACTATGATATTTACCAAATAAGTAAATACATAAAACTCTGATACTGATAAATATTGATTCGAAATGAAATTATTTTATTAGCTTGCTTTGTAGAATCTGATGTTTGATAGATCACCAAAACACACCAAAGTTTTTCCCTAAAAAAAAAAAAAAAAAAAACTCACCCAAGAAGTATTTACCAAGAACGTTTCTTAATTCTAGATTCTTCACTTGTTTTAAGCATTGATTTTTCACTTTATTTGGCTTCAATCTAAAATCCCTGAGATGTCTGAAGCATTAATAAAGTTGCAAGGAAACAGAAAATGCAATTACAAATCTAAATCCCTCCCTAAAATTCTGACTGAATTATAATCAAAATGTTGATTAAATCTGGCAAATGCAACTTGGCATGCTACTTGCATGTGAATTGTTCTCATTGTTGTGTTGGTTCAAAGAGCTTGAAATTTGCTTGGAAATTTATGAACATGCCGTCTTAGAACTATCAAAGGCAAGGCTCCCTGGAATCCACAGTTCATTATAAGATCTTCAGATGATAGAAACCTCTCTTGTGATTTTCTTTTTGCAATGCTGTATAGACGTTTCTGATATTTTAGGTCCATGTGGAAAATTTTGTCTAGGATTGTAGCTTCTTTTCTTACGCAAAACATCTTTCTTGTCATAGGAGCAAAGGAAATTGGGTAGTGATGAACCAGCTCTGGAGAGCCGTGGCACTGGCATGGACTGCGCAGCTCTTACCTGCATGGTGCAGCTGGCTCAGGTCATAGTGGGAGCTGGTCTTGGAGCCCTGGTCAATCTAGCAGGCAGTGTGATTGTCGTGGTTCTCTCTGCATCAACAGTATCCCTAATTGGCTGCCTCTTTATTACTCTCTTTATGTGATGTACTGATTAAGCCTCAAATAAATACACTTTCTCTATTTCATATGGTCCATCTCCTCTGTTCACCGAGAAAGAGCAGGAAAAAGAAAGGATATATATATATAAGAGTCATATATATATACAGTCATGTGAAAAAGTTAGGACACCCTATTGAATTCCATGGTTTTCTGTATCAGGACATAATAAAAAAAAATATCTGGTCCTTTGCAGGTCTTAAAATTTGGAAAATAAAACCTCAGATGATCAACAACACATGACATATCACACTGTGTCATTATTTATTTAACAAAAATAAAGCCAAAATGGAAAACCATGTGTGACAAAGTTAGGACACCCTATGATTCAATTGCTTGTAGATCCACTTTTAGCAGTAATCATTTTCTGTATGACTTTATCAGTCTCTCACATCAAGTTTATGCACAGCTCTCGCCACAGCATTTCAGTCAGGATGAGGTCTGGACTTTGACTGGGCTATTGAAACACCTTGATTCTTTTCTTTTCAGCCCTTCTGTTGTAGATTTTCTGGTGTGCTTGAGATCATTGTCCTGTTGCATGATCCAATACTGGCCCAACTTTAGCTGTCGGACGGATGTCCTCACATTTGACTCTAGAATACTTTGGTATACAGAGGAGTTCATGGTCGATTCAAGGACTGTGAGGTGCCCAGGTCCTGTGGCTACAAAACAAGCCCCAAATCATCAGCCCTCCACCAGCATGTGTGACTTTTGGTATGAGGCGTTTGTGCTGATATGCTCTTTAGGTTTTCACCAAACGTGCTGCTGTGCATTATGGCCAAACATCTCCACTCTAGTCTCATCTGTTCAAAGGACATTGTTCTAGAAGTCTTGCGGATTGTTCAGATGCAACTTTGCAAATCTAAACTGTGCTGCCATGCTTTTTTCAGATAGAAGAGGCTTTCAAGCCTTCCAAACATGCCATACTTGTCCCATATTTTTCTTATTGTACTGTCATGAACGTTATCATTTAACATGTTAACTGAGGTCTGTCGAGTCTGCAGTGAAGTTCTTGGGTGTCTGCCATTCTTCTGAGCGTTACGTGGTCTGATGTTGGGGTGAATTTGCTGGGACGTCCAGTCTTGGGAGGATTGTTGTCTGTTTTGAATGTCTTCCACATTTGAATAAACTTCCTCACTGTAGAATGATGAACTTCAAATTGTTTGCAAATGGCCGTAGTACTCTTCCCAGACTGATGGCAGCAGCAATTGCTTCTCTAAGATCATTGCTGATGCCTTTCCTCCTTGGCACTGTGTTAACACACCTGAAGGCTCCAGACCAGCAAACTGCCAAAACATCTGCTTTTATAGAGGTGCTCACACTTGCTGATGATCAGTTAATCAAAGGCATTTGATTAGCAGAGTCTGACTGTTACTTACCCTCTTAATTCCTATGTTAACATTAAGGGTGTCCTAACTTTGTTACACATGACTTTTCCATTTTGGCTTTATTTTTGATAAAAAAAATAATGGCACGGTGTGATATGTCATGTGTTGTTGTTCATCACTGTTCAAAGTTTTATTTTCCAAATTTTAAGACCTGCCAAGGACCAGATATTTTTTTATGTCCTGATACAGAAAACCATGGAATTCAATAGGGTGTTCAAATTTTACAGTGGTGTGAAAAAGTTTGTGCCCCCTTCCTGTTTTGTTTTTGTTTGTTTTTTTTTTTTGCATTTTTGTCACACTTGAATGATTCAGATCAAGCAAATTTTAATGTTACACAAAGATAACTCGAGTAAATACAAAATGCAGTTTTGAAATAATGATTTAATTTATTAAGGGAAAAAAGCAGTCCAAACCTGCCTGGCACTATGTGAAAAAGTAATTGCCCCCTACATCTAATAACCACCTTTGGCAGCAACAACTGCAATCAAGCATTTGCGATAACTGGCAATGAGTCTTTCACATCACTGTGGAGGAATTTTGGCCCACTCTTCTTTGCAGAATTGTTTTAATTCAGCCACATTGGAGGGTTTTCGAGCATGAATGGACTGTTTAAGGTCATGCCACAGCATCTCAATTGTATTTAAGCCCGGACTTTGACTTGGCCATTCCAAAACCTTAATTTTGTTTTTCTTGAGCCATTCAGAGGTGGACTTGCTGGTGTGTTTGGGATCATTGTCCTGCTGCATAACCCAAGTGCGCTTGAGCTTGAGGTCACAAACTGATGGCCGGACATTCTCATTCAGGATTTTCTGATAGAGTGCAGAATTCATGGTTCCATTAATTATGGCAAGTCGTCCAAGTCCTGAAGCTGCAAAGCAGCCCCAGTCCATCACACTACACCACCATGTTTGACTGTTGGTATGATGTTCTTCTTATGAAATGCTGTGTTGTTTTTACGTTTTTACTGTGTTGTTTTATACACACACACACACACACACACACACATATATATTATGTATGTATAATTAGGAGAACAAAGTCTTTATGCAGGTGGTGTTATTTATCTTTTAATCTGATGATAAAGTTTGACAAATCAGTAAAATCAAACATAAATATGTTACAAATAATGTACATAGTCACAGTTCACATGAATGCCTATAATGATAACACACCTTCTTAATGATCACTTGAAAAAAACATCTTAAACCAGCCTAAGATGCTTTGCTGGTCTTAGCCATCTCCTGACCTTGTCAGGCTAGTATGTTGGCTGATTTTTTAGAGTACATAAAAAACCCTGCAACCCATCACTGGCTGATGTAAGATGTTTTATTAAAAAATGTCATATTTTATTTAAAATATTTTAACCAACTGATAGGCTACATTACTAAATCATATGAATCCAACTGATACATTATTAAATTATATGAATCCACATTGTGCTCTGTGAATAGTCTGTCAAATATTCTAATAAATACTTGTTTGTTCAATTTTTTTTCTTTCTAATTAGATTGTTTTCACAGTTCCTGATTAGATTATTAGTAGTGCAGAGTTGAAGTTAAAAAGGGAGTGACGTTTGTGTGATTTCACCTAGAGCAAGGAGGTCTTTCCTCCTGCTTGTAAAGGCTTTCTCACTAGTGACTAGTGAGAGGGTGAAAATGTAAAACCCAGAATGGATTAGAGTGGCGTAATTAAAGGGATAGTTCACCCCAAAATGAAAATTCTGTCATTAATTTCTCACCCTTATGTAGTTCCAAACCCGCAAGACCTACATTCTTCGGAACACAAATTAAAATATTTTTGATGAAATCTGAGATCTCTCTGACCCTCCATAGACAGCAACGCAACCTAAATGTTCCCAGACCCAGAAACGTAGTAAGGTCAGGACAAAGGTAAAATAATCCATGTGACATCAGTGACTCAACTTCAATTTTGCGAAACTACGAGAATACTTTTTGTGCACAAAGAAAACAAAAATAACAATTCTTCTCCTCGAGTTACCGTCAGTAACCGTCTTCCACCATTTTGGAGAGTACCACGACACATGCGCGCGCTTTCCCCAGAACATAATCAACGTAATCAGCGTTGTTTACGTTCATTGGAAAGCACGCACATGCGTCGTGGTACTCTCCAAAATGGTGGAAGATGGTGACACAGGGAAGAAGAGTTGTTGAATTATTGTTATTGTTGAACATTATTTTTGTTTTCTTTGTACACAAAAAGTATTCTCGTAGCTTCGCAAAATTGAAGTTGAGCCACTGATGTCACATGGACTGTTTTACCTTTGTCCTGATCTTACTACGTTTCTGGACCTGGGGACATTTAGGTTGCCTTGCTGTCTATGGACTACATGAGGATGAGAAATTAATGACAAAATTTTCATTTTGGGGTGAGCTATCCCTTTAAGAAAGGTTTTGAATTGGGAGGCTCCCTTCCACTTCCAAAAGGTGTTTTGGAACTCCTTTTCCAAAACCGGAACTCTTTTACTCTACTCATTGGTTTCTTTGAAAATTATTTACGTTGGCGGAGAAACAAATGTACAAACTAATTAATTATTAGCCAGTTTGTCTGAGTCCGAAACATTTCTCATTACCAACAACAACTCGTTATGTGCTGTTAGGCAGAAGTTCCTTTCTGCCATTATACATGACAGCCCCCGGAGGATAAAAAATAAGCGCGGGCTCAGCGGGACTGATCGGACCCAGCGCGGGACCGTGTTCATCTTGCTCGGGCTTCGTTGAGGCGGTAAACGGTCTCATGTTCGTCACAGCAGGCGAAGTGATTTGCCAAAACAGCTTTTTCAACGCTTTTCTGAATTCCCTTCTCATCAAACAGTACAGAATGGGATTGAGACAACTGTTTGAATGTGCCAAACATACTGTGACTGGGAAAATATACACTTGCGTGGTGTAATACTCGTAACTGAAGTGCACTACATTGAGTTTTATTAAGATTCCCCACGCCGTTAACGCCTGGTTCGGCAGCCAGCACAGGAAAAAAGACAAAACGACGATAGTCACAGATTTAGTCACTTTAGATCGCCTCTTAGCGCTGGTGGTGTTCACGTTTTTGTTAGTTATGAAGCGTAGGAGAAGCAGGTAACAGACAGTGATTATTACGAACGGAATGAGGAACCCCAGAAGTACTTTTTGCGCGTGATATAAACCCAGCCAAAATTGCGCATCTCCACTCCGGTCGGGAAATTTCACCAGGCACAGTTCTTCGTTGGATACCGTGGCGGTCGTTGAAAATATCGCGTTCGGCAGAGCGGCTCCGACCGCTGCAATCCAAATGACTATAGTCATCCACTGCGCGGAGAAACGCAACCGGCGTCTCCTACTTTTTAACGCCGAGGCCACGGAGCAGTATCTCGCGACGCTCATAGCCGTGAGGAAAAACACGCTGGCGTACATGTTCGTAGCCGTGACATAAGAAACTGTCTTACACATCGCCTTCCCAAACAGCCAAGTGAAATCCATGGCGTTCTCCACAGCCCAAAAGGGAAGCGTCAAAACAAACTGAAAGTCTGTGACCGCCAAACTGGTCACGAAGAAGTTGATAGAAGACTTCTTCCATGCTTGTTTGGACTTCATGAGATACAGGACGAGGA